GTCAACTGTCCAAGTATTTCCAGTGGTTGTCCCTTCAAGCTCGTTGCCAGATATGCTGCTTTCTGCTCCTCTGTCCATACATTCATCTCTGCCAGTAGCTCGAATTGTGCTCTATATGCTTCCCATGGTGCCTTTCCATCGAATTCCTGTGGCTTTCTTCGTACTGGATCACTCCTATTACTGACATTCATATCTGGGATGTGACTTCTAACTGGACTGAATATTTCTGCATTAGGGTTTAGCTGCGGGCTCTGTAAGGGGCTTGCCATTGTCTGGGACTGATTAAGTCGATGTTCAATGTATCCTCCTTTTGTAACACACAACAAATCGTTCTTTAACGTATCTAATTCGCTTTTAAATTTACTAATGTTTTCTATTTGTACTTTTGCCACTGTTGTTGACTTTCCTGTAGCTGCTGCTGACTTTCCTGCAACTGATGGATACTTTCTTCCTGTTTCCTTTCTTGTTCCAGTTGCCACTGCTGTAATCTCTCTTGTTTATTTTGCTGTTTGAGCTGCCATTGTTGTGGGTTTTCTCGCCACTGCTGTAATCTTTCTTCTTGTTTCTTTTGTTGTTCTTGTATTGCTGCCATCAAATCTGCTAAGCTGTAGTTTGATTTGCCACTTCTCGTGTCTATTTTTTTTCGTCCCACTCTCTGACACCAATTTGTTAGTCTCTGGTCGTTAGTTAATTTTCCGTAAAATTACAAGTCCTTTCTTAAATAAAACTGGTTTATTCTTTCTGAATATAAATTTGCAATACACTTAATTTCCACAGTCGCGCTATAACAAACGCTATAATTCACAACAACGAATCACGTGCTCGACTCAATAGTCAGTCTCTCTCTGTCTGCAGTTCAATTACGTACATTGTTGCCGTCACTTCTTACCGGTCTTATATACACATAAATACCGCAAATCTAGTAAACACTCGAGACTTCAGGAACCTTCGAGAATATGACGTGTTACTAGGGTCACGTGACCTCCGCTGTCGTAACAGTAGTTTTAATTAAGAAAGGACTTGTATCGCTGAAGTTCCTCGGAAAGAATTTATACTTGAAATTAACAAGCAAGCAGATACGCAACAATACTTTAAATTACACATAACAGCATAATCGTTTGTTCTATAGTATGTGAATACCGGCGCTTTTTGTTGAGAATTTCACCCCTCTATATATATATATATATATATATATCAACCTATAGTATAGCAGGAAGGTAATTTCGTTATTTTGGTAACAATAATATAAC